CTCTGGCCTAGATTGCTGGCAAATGTGGCAGCTATGTACCTGAACCTCAATATCTTTGTCCAGCCCAGGCCACCAAAAGTAGCTTCGCATGAGTGCCTTCATCCGGACTATTCCCAGATGTCCCTCATGCAGAGAGTCCAGGACTCTAGTCCTCTGTGAGTTCGGGACTATAACCTGACTACCCCACAAGACCCAGCCCCTGTGAGCTGACAACTCATCCTTCCTCCTACTAAAACTCTGGAAGTTAGGCCCTGGACTAGTTTCTGGCCACCTGTGAGCATCCAGTTTAACACGCAGTTTAGCGTTGTGTCGGACGCTGTCTCCGCAGCTATGTTCCCTGAGTAAGGGGAGACTCAGGCAGATCCTGGATAGCCAGGATGTGCATGGCTGGAGCGGGGTCAGGCTCTAAATGTGGCAATGGCAGTCTGCTAAGGCTGTCTGCATGGCCCATTTCCCTACCTGGTTTATGAATCAAATTGAAATTGTATGCTGACAGAAATATTGACCACCTCAACATCATAGGAGATATGATCTGGGGTGTTTGCTTGTTCGTTGTGAACAACCCCAGGAGTGGCTTGTGGTCTGTGAAGACCATGAAAGTCCTGCCATACAGATAGTCATGAAACTTCTTGATCCCTGCCACTATGGCCAAGGCTTCTTTATTTGAGCGTAATTATGCTCTGCAGAGGACAAGGTCCTCGAGGAATAGGCTATTGGAGCTTGCCTTCCATCAGTCATTACATGACTCAACACAACCCCAACCCCATATGGTGATGCATCACAAGCGATGCAGACAGGCAGCTTTTCGTTAAAATGCATCAAAAAGGAGTTTGAAGACAGCAATGATTTGACTGCCAAGAAGCTCCTCTAGTGGAAGCTGGTCCACTTCCACTGTGCATGTTTATCCAAGAGCCGGTGTAACTGCTCTGCCACTGCAGCCTTGTGAGGTAGGAAGGCATGATAAAAATTGAGCAGTCCTAGGAACGCTTGGAGCTCCCCCTTTGATTTTGGACTGGGTGCCTGCTGAATTGTTTTGAGCTTGGATTCAGCAGGATGAATGCCTTGGGCATCTATATGGAAACTGAGGAACTCAGTTGAAGCTACCCCAATCTTACATTTCTCCCACTTCAGCTTCAGCCCTGCTTCGCCGAAATGCTGAAGGACAGCGTTGAGCTGTTCTGCCAATTTTTTTTACTGTTTCCCCAGCTATGAGGACATCATCGAAATATGGGCACATGCCTGGAATATCCTTAAGTGTGCGCTTCATCACTCCCTGGAAGAGGCCTGGGGCAACACTGACCCTAAATTGTAGGTGCTTAACTTTGAAAGCTCCCCTGAGTAACTATGGTTTGAGCTTCCACCATGGCATCATCCACCAGCAGTTGCTGATAGGCTTGAGCCAAATCTAACTTGGCAAAGATGCGACCTCCCTGTAGTGACTCCAAAATGTGGCTGACTACAGGCACCGGATATGCATGTTGTTGGAGTGCTCTATTGATAATCTGTAATCTGTGCATATTTGTACTTCTCTGTTGGCCTTAAGTGGCATGACTATGGGGGTTTCCCATTGACTGCTATCCACTGGCTGAAGGATGCCTTGCTGCACCAGCTTATCCAGCTCTGCATCGATCTTCTGCTTGAGGGTGAAGGGCACTCTACGTGGTTTGATCTGTAATGGAGTTATGGCAGGATCAAGCCGAAGAGCTATGGGAGGACCTTTATATTTCCCTAAGTGAGGGCTAAAAACATCAGCAAACTCTCAGCAAACTGCCACTAAGTCCACTGCTTATGTGCTGTTTATTCTAGTTACATGGATTCCCAATGCATCAAACCAATCAAGCCCAATGAGGCTTGTGTGGTTGCCCTCAACTACTATGACTTCCAGGGGGCCCTCAAATCCCTTGAATTGCATCCAGAATGAAGCTTCCCCCTTGACTGTTACTCGGGAGTTTTGGAAATCTGTTAAGACGAGGTTCGACGGCTTTAGCTTAAGCCTTTTGCCCCTGCGACTACAAATGTGTTTGAAGGTTCCCTGGGAAATTATGGATAATGCAGATCCCATATCTAGTTCCATGTTGCATGGAACTCCCTGCAGCTTAACTTTGAGCTGCAGTTTTTCCTTAAGAGGGTGATGGGCACCTGTTTTAAGTACGCTTCTCCTAGTGGCACAATAGCCCACCCTGTGTTGCCCCGGGGCCCCAGTATCTTTCCGAGGAAACTCTTCTGGTGGACTCACTCTCCAATGACCCTGACAGACTGCAGCAATGGGGCCTTGTTTGCCACACGCCCGGCACATTGCGGTGCGGAACCAGCAGTCCGCACATTTGTGTCGGCCTCCACACCCCGCACATCAAGAGAAGGGAACTGCCTTGTCAACTGGATGTGGTGATCTTCTTTCTGGAAGCTGCTGTAAGTGATCGACCTCTTGATCCAATTTGGAGTCTTCAAGCCTCTCAGTGCCCTCCTGGTGGACAGCCTCATCTGGCTTTTCTGTAGCCGGGAATAGCCCTGAAATTGGCCAGGCTGGTGGAAATTTGCTGACACTGCAGACAGACAGCTTTCTAGTGGGGGACTGAGCACTATGCTAGGCACTATTTTTATTTACTTTAGAAGAGGTAACAATGGTGGCCTAAGTTCAGGTAATGTAGGAAGAAAGGGAAAAGATAGAACATAGAACATGATTTTTCTTACTTCCGGCCTAATCTCAGTAAGAGGTTTTTCCTTGGGCAGGCCACCTGGGTAAAAGCTGGAAGTGTAGATCAAACTGAAAGCCAGAAGTGAAGTTGAAAAGGATCAACAAAATATACTTTTGCTTAGAAACATGAAGTGGGATAAAACTAGATAATGCTGGTTTTGCCTTAATGTGCCTTTCTACTGGAACATCAGAAGAGGCAATTCTTGAAAATAGTTGCTACTCACCTGGCCTGTTAGCTTCTCTAGGGCTATTGTACGTAGGTGGCAAAGATGCAAGCAATCACTAGATTTTCTGTAGTTCTAGGCTTCCCTCTATTAAGGCAGTGCAAACTGTTGAAAAGAGATCTTTCATCAAGTACGTTTGTTTTCAAGGGCACGTAATTGTAAAGCCCTATTTGGTATGTTGATGAAGATTCTCAGTCATCCAAGTAGGACTGCCTGAAAATTGAGTCCATGGCAACTGGACTTATTTTTGTTGATCTGAAACATTTGGCTGCTTATCCAAGCAGCTTCCTCAGTTGAGACAAGTTAAAGAGTCATTAGAATGTACCAACTCCTCCTGTACAAAACTCAGGGTTTCTTCCCCAAAGTGTGTAACAATATGTCAGTGAAGATTCTTAGTCATCCAGGTAGAGTTATCTGAAAATTGAATTGTCTGGGTTGGTGCTGGAGGAGTTGTACATTCCAGTGACTCTCTGGATAACCAACATCCTCAAACTGAGGAAGTTACTTAGATGAGCAGTGAAACATTTCAGATCAGCAAAAATAAGCCAATTGCCATGACTCAATTTTCAGATACCCTTTGGAATGTAAAACAAAGTCATAATCATTCAACCCACTAAGCCCAACTTAGTCAATTATGGTTTAGGGAATAATCTATCCTGGCTGGATTCACACAATGTTTTAAGAAGTAAAGTGAGTATATAAATTATGCTGGCTAGGTTTAAACAACATTGTGCCTTAGCATGTGGTATGAGTCTATTGGATGTTCATTCCCAATTTCTTGGGAAAAAGAATTTCTTGGACAAGACAGGTGTTTAAAAAATCTGATGCTTACTATAGTTTGTTCATGTTATGCTAAATGATAATATGAATGCTGTCCCTTAAGACAAAGGAACTTTTGACTTAGGAGGCTACTGAGTCTGATAAAGAGTTGTCATATCCAAAACACCTCCTTCCCTGGAGTTGATTAAACAGAAGCTGGACATCTTTCTATTGGAGATGTAGCAATAATAGATTTCTGGATTGGGCAAAATATTGGACTAGATGATCTAAAAGTTCTTTCCAAATTTTTTCAGTGAAAATGCTGAAGAACATAGTTTTGGGGTGAAACAAATAGAAGGAAACCTCACTGATGAAGAAAACCTTGTCTCCTTGTTTGACAAACATGCAAGTCCATCTCCGATGTTTGTCAGCTTATGAGAAGTTGAGCCAAAGTTTTATAAAAATTCTTGGAAACTTGGGCTCAGATTTTTTGGAAAAGGAGAATTAAAAAGAGAACATGATCATAGTTTGGAAACTCAAACACAGCCAATTGGACAAAGTTTTGAAGAGACAAATGGACTAGGAGAGAAAGCTTTAGGCAAAATACAAATGGCTTGTGTGTTAGCGAAAACAGAATTTAAATGAGGTGGGCAAAAAAATATTTTGGTAGGTCACTTTGCTGGAAACATATTCTTCCTAGAATTTATTTGTGCTAAGCTTTATTATGTCCATATGGATCCAAGCTAGTGTTCTGACAGCCAACAGTATCAAAAATAATAGCTTTTGAGTATGTATTCCAGTATTCAAATGGTGCTTACTTTTGAGCAGACTTCAATAGATTGTCTGGAAGCTGTAAACTGTTGTAGGAACACAATGCAATAATATAGTACAGAAAGTATTTCTATCATTGTTAAACCCACCCACGGACATAATTGTGAACTTATTGGGCAAGGTTTCTAGACTGCAGGTTATGAACTCCAAAAAGGATTCAACCATTTTTCTTTAGAGAAACTGAGAACAAAAAAAGCTACCATAGCTTGGCTGCAAAAAAGGTCCTAGATGGAGGCAAAAACATAAGAGTGTCTTTAGCGGGTCTTTTGATTTTGGAATCTGATTTGGGAACCCTCCAAATGAATTGAGGCTGGAACTACTAGAATTCTCCCCAATATTCCTGTTAACAGGAACAATGCACACAAGAAACTTTTATGCAGCCAGACTTTCAGAAACATAGATAACAATCTGGACAGGCATGTTTTTAAAATACACCTTCAAGACCAATCTGCTTTGTTTTGATCCTTGTCATTTCCTCGGCTCCTATTTAGAGCAGGCAGAGCTTGAGCTCCCTCCCACCAACAACTTCAGTCCCTGCAACATCCATGACCGTAAATGCCTGCAGAAACAACAAGCAAGAGCACGGGAACGAATAAACATTGGTGTCAAGATGAGGAACCATGGGAGCCTCATGCTCCGGGAGGATATCCGGCCAATGGTGAGGGGCTTTGGTCTTTCTTCAGAGAAAGGGGAATAGAAACCATATTTCGTTGAATTAGGCTCTTCCCATTTGCTGTTCAGTTTTGCTCTTCATTTCCTAACATTTCAGATGCCTTCCAGATGTGTTAGAATTACAAGTCCCAGAATTACCCTGCCAGCACAGCCATGGAATTTCTGGAAATTTTAGCCTTATGCATTAGGAGGATTGAGGACAATCTGATTAAGAACACCTATTTGAAACATGAAATACTTGTGCTTCTATTTCTAATTTTTGGTACTTTATAAAATTCATTCCCAATTTGACTCATTGTTGGTTATTGCTAGTCCTTTAAATCAATGCACCAGCTGAACTCATGGAGGTTTCCCTGTTATATCCAAAGTCCCCTTTTGAATATTTCACTAAGCCTGGCTAATCAAGGCATGGATGGCTCATTAGCTATCTCCATACCAGGGAGAAGTAAACTGGTCAGAATAAAAATGTTCAGATAACATGATACTCAAATTTACTATGAGAGATATTAGATGTATTCACAGTTCCTATTCCTGTGTTCTGACTGCAGTTCCTCCTATTATTTTGCCAACAGGTTCAAGGCTTGTGTCAGAGTGAGCTTCAAAGAGCCCTAGAGAGACTAGCAGCTTCCCAAACCCGAACCCATGAGGACCTTTACCTCATTCCCATCCCTAACTGTGACCAAAATGGAAATTTCCACCCCAAGCAGGTAACCCTGAAATATGGGAGGGCATGGGTAAATTTTTATTTTGTGTGGGATGCATTCCCCCCCTCCAAATTCTCTTGACCTACAAGCAGATTTTTAATTCATTACAACTCAGATCTGCATAGCACATTCTATGAATTATTATTAATTGTCATTAAGGCAACCCATGGGTGTTTGCTTTGTGTTATGGAACTCCAACAATGTGTCAGCATAATTGAGAAGCCTGGGTGCAAAAATAAACATAGAAAGAGCAACAAGCTTGCATTTTCTTTTAATCTATGGGGTGATGAAAAGTCCCTATTGATGTTAAATATGATATTATAACAATCAGCTTACTGTTCTGACACCTCAAAAGCTGGAAAGGGCATTGCAATATTTAATAAATAGCCAGTTCTGACTCTGAGAACTGGCATGATGTTGTTCAGCCTTTTCCAGCCTAACACCTTTCTGATAGGACAGATTACACAAGGTGGAAAATTTTAGTGAGAACATTCTGAAAGTATATTTTCGGCATCTTCAGTAAATAATTGTTATGATGGCCATAAGTGGTCAGAGAACTTATCAAGAAGCTGGTGAGATGACTATCCATCATCCTGGTAGTACCCTCTGCTATTCTATTTGCCTTTGTGGAGTTGGTGGCACAGTTCAAGATAAAACACTAAACATATTGCTATTTAAAAGTAGCTCTGGACCTCTGTATTCCCACAGTATCAGTTGTATATTCCCACAGTTGTAGAGTGGAAACAGCTTGGCATATAAAGAACCAAGGTATCTCTCTCTCTCTCTCCCCCCCCCCCCAGTTTCTAGCCTGGTGCCCTAACTAATAGACTAGTGATTACAAACCTCTTGGCCTTAGCCTGTCAAAAATTCAGAAAGTGCCTAACCTGACTCTGCTGGTAACAAAAGATAAACAATTCTTTATCTCCCCATCACCAAATCCAGACCACCAGAAACAGCAACACTTGGTGATAGTACTGAGGCCGGGCCTGAAGTTGAGGCCCGGGCCTTGATTTCAGCCCTAGAGCCACCACTGTCACTCAAAAAGGCTGCCTTTTGCCATTCCCCATTGTTCAATAGCCTTGAAGAAGGGTAAAATATCCCTTGTGCTTCCTAGGTTCTGCTGTGTACCACTTACTTTTACATGGTGTTCTCTTTTTATTGACAGGCCCCTCTGGCTTACTCAAGACTGTTCTTGGTTGCACAAGGCCTTCATTCTTGAAGCAGATTTGGAGAAGGTTCTCCTGCAGTCTCAACATCCCAAAACTGTGTAAAAGCACTCACCATTCCTACATAACTTTCAGATGCTCCGGAGGCCATGCAACAGCATTGCCCTTTTGTGTGACTTCTGGAGGGTTTGGAGACTGCAAGGAAAGCACATCCCATTCTTATGCGGCCTCTGCAGTCCTCAAAAATTAAATGAGAATGGGTTGTGCTTTTGAAAATAGTTCTTGGATATTAGCGAACACTGATATATCACCCAAAATATCATGGTGTATCATTGGTTTGCTATCACTACACTACATCAAACTGGCTCTAATGAAGGCCATGAGGTGGGATGTGGAGTAAAGTGGGAGGGAGCAATCAACAATGAGTGAATTCTATCCTCCACTTGTGCTGCAAGGGAATGGCAATGCTGGAAGCAATTTCTGTCTTTACGGCCAGCAGCACCTGGAAATACTCTGGAGTTAGTCATGGACCTGGAACTGAATAGTTTCTTCCACTCCTTAACAAAAGCAGTGAAAGGTATAGCCATACAAACTTTTTGTTAGCAGCAATGAAAAACCTGGAGTCTGTTAGTGACAGAATAAGCATCACTAGTCCTTTTACTGCTTATTGAACTTCTAGTCCTTTTACTGCTTATTGAACTTCTACGCAACGTAGTACTAACACTCTTTTCCTGCTTTTTAAAAATATAATCCTAGTGGTTTTTTTAAAAGAACGCATTAACCCATATTTATAAAGAAACATGGAAGACAACTGATTCTTTGAAAGCTTTGGTTAGGTATTATGCAGGTAAATTGCTTGCAGCAACTAAAATGGACAATAAGAGTTGGGTAGGTTCCCTTTTCAATCACACCACAAACTACATTGCTGAAATTGTATTGTCAGCTAACATTGTGTTGAGAAAAGATGGAACAACTGAAGTTTTGTGTTGCCTTGGCTGTGGGTAAAATGAAGGCAATGTTATAAGGATATGATGTCAAAAATAATTGGGAGCAGAGGAATGTGAGAATGAGATTGTTTTATTTTTTTCATAATTATGAGAATTAATCTTCTATCTTTCTCTTTCAGTGTCACCCAGCTTTGGATGGGCAACGAGGGAAATGTTGGTGTGTGGATCGGAAGACAGGGGTTAAATTGTCAGGAAGTTTGGAAGTGAAAGAAGATTTGGATTGCCATCAGCCTGTAGATGGAGTGGAAGAGTGACCAGGCTGATAAGTGGACAATGAGACTTGCCTTGACAATCTGCCAAGGGAACTTGTTGTACTTAGTGTTTGATAAGTAGATGCAATGCAAATTGGGAGTTACCACAATGCCTTTTTTCCTGAGGGGGAATAATAGCAGTATGGCTGCCTCTCTCATCAAAATAACTGCATTAATCTAAGCATGATGTGGCTTAGTCAACCCGTATTTCTCTGCTGTTTAACTGGATAGCTATTTGCATCCATGGATCATTCTTCACTCACAATGGAAACTGTATTCCATGTGAGTGATCACTGGCTTTAATCTTGAGTACCTCAATAAGTCTTTTGAGAGTTTCCTCTGAGTAGACCTGCTCTTGTTTTTGGGGAACTTGCTCTTCTTCTACTGAGAAAGGGAAAAGAAAAACAGGGGACAAAGCTCTTTCCCCCACTTTTCTTAAAGGTCCACTAAAACCCAAGCTGTTTCAGTAACGCCTAGATTTCTTCCATCCTAATATACTTTATCTCCTTAATGCAAGGGATAAATTATATTTAGGATGAGAAAAAAAATTCTCTAGCCATGATACCAGTCTTCAGTCCTGGAACCAATTTTTATTGTCATGGCTTAGTCTTGAAACATGTTAAAGCAACAACATAGATTAGAGCATTCTTGAACAAAATGCTCCAATTTATATTGACCAAACAATTTTTTTTAAATCCCATGTCTCTCCAACAGGACTAAATTCACTTTGAATTTAGAATGCTCTTTTCAGGCATAATTTCTATTTTTGCTTTAATTTAAAAGAACTACAATTGTTAATTCATATTCCAAATAGAGATACAGGAATACAGTTACAAAAACTCAAATCATAATATATAGTAATTAAAAATATCCTTCTATATTAAAAAAAATCAGAAAAAAAGATAGCTGGTATAATCCAGATGATGTGCTATTTTTGCGCAGTAATTTACTATTCAGTATATTTTCAAACAGAATAAACTAATCTTTGATGCATAAGATAGTATCTTTGAAATCTAGAAAAATGAGATTCTAGGGTATTTGGTAAAAATAATAATGGCTTCCAATTTGTATTAATAGTGACAAAATAACTTTTAGAAATTGGCATGGAAGCTGGACTATAGCAACATTTTCAAGGATTGTATTTTAGCTTATTTGAATAAAATAAGGGTATGGGAGGGAAATCCTAAAAATCGGTCTATATATTTATTTAATTTACATTGCTGGTAGGATTCGGATTCACCTGATACAATTATTTGCTTTCTTTTCTCTTCCTGTTAAATGCAGAGTAATATAGCCTTCATATTAAGAGATGTACCTAACCCAGGAATACTTCCAATCTGGAAACAAAACTGAAAATGTTTAGAGCATCCAAGACTAATTTTGCCAATTCTAGAGCCCAGACCCATTTATTACTGAAAACAAGGCCCCTTTTTTTTCTAGCTTACAACCTTCTTTTGAGTGTTAAAACATTTCTAGTTATAGAACAATAAAATTAACCCCATCAAGCAATCTTGCTGCAGAACAAGGAATTTCTTCCTCAAATGAAATGTTTCTTATTAGCAAATAGAATTTGCATCATTGGAGAGGGGGAGTTCAGAGACTCCAGCCCCCTTCAGTTTGGGTTGCCAAAATTTGTTGGTAAAACCATTAATTTTCTATGGGGCAGCTTCTCACATTTTGCTGTTAAAAGGACAAAATAGATTTCCATGAGGTGCAAAGTAATTCATTATCTTTTTCTTAATTATATCCCTCAGATTAGGATGTTCTTCCTTAGTTATAAATACATATGTTGGTCTAACTCAGTGTTTCTCAACCTTCCTAATGCCGCAACCCTTTAATACAGTTCCTCACGTTGTGGTGACCCCCAACCCCCCATCCAGTTGGCTGGGGGATATCAAAAACTTGACCCCAAAAAAGAGGAAAAAAATGGGAAAGTATAGGTAGTCCTCGACTTATAACAATTTGCTTAGTGACTTTTTGAAGTTACAACAGCACTGAAAAAGCGAATTATGATCATTTTTCACACTTATGATTGTTGCAGCATCCCCAGCGTCATGTGATTTACATTCGGATGCTTGACAACTGATTCATACTTATGACGTTCACAGTGTCCCAAGGTCACGTGATCAATGGCCGGGGGGGTGGCCAGCTGATCACTTAGGTTGCAGAGTGCCTGTGGGGGGGAATCTGTGGGTCTCTTGGATGGGACTGGGGTGGGTGTCTGCCTTCCTTCCCTCCCTTCTCTCCCCTTGTCCTTTTCTTCCTTTCCTTCACCTCCCTCTTAGTCTCTTCCTCCTTCCCTCCTTCCCTCCTTCTCCCATTGTCCCTTCCTTCCTTCTTTTCTTCCTTTCCTTCACCTCCCTTAGTCTCTTCCTCCTTCCCTCCCTCTCTCCCCTTGTCCCTCCCTCCCTCCCTCCCTTCCTTCCTTCCCTCTTTGTCCTTTCCTTCCTTCCCTTCCTTCCATTGTTCCTTCCTTCCTTCCCTCTCTCATTGTTCCTTCCTTCCCTCCCTCTTCGTCCCTTCCTTCCCCCCCTCCATGCCCAGGAAGGGACAAGGGGAGGGGACAGGCTGCCAGCGTGGCTGGTGGCTTTGCTGCTGGTGGCCATGGCGACATGCCGAACTTGCCTGTGCACAGGCAGAGGCAGAGGAGATCTCCGCCCAGCTCACTTGCACAGCTTTGCCAGAAAACATGCTGCTTGCTAAGTTAGCAGAAGCGCCAGGATCAGGGCTGGGCTACAGCTGATTTGCGCTTCTGCTAAATTAGCAAGCGGCATGTTTTCTAGCAAAGCTCGAGCAAGTTTGCTGGGCAGGAGCCAAGGAGAGCTGCTACAGCTGATCTGCTTCTGGGCTGCTCTGCAGAAGCGGGGATCAGCTGTAGAGACTCGCCCCAATCCTGGACAAGAGGGAAGGAAGGAAGGAAGGGACAAGGGGAGAGAGGGAGGGAAGGAGGGACAAAGAGGGAGGCGAAGGAAAGGAAGCAAGCAAGGAAGGGAGAATAGGAGAGGGAGGGAAGGAGGAAGAGACCAAGAGGGAGGGAAGGAAAGGCTTGGCAGCCCAGCAGCCGAGGAACAGAAGAGCGCAAAGCCAAGGAGAAGAAGGTGGCGGTTTCCTCCCAAAGGGGGCTCCTTTTCTCCACCCCTTCCCTTGTTTGTGGGGAATTTCTTGTCACCAACACTGACAGGTGCTCCTTCGAGCCCGCCGTGAGCTTTCTTACCCCTTTGCTTCTCCCCCCTGCTTTCGTGAGGATTGTGGCGCCCTTGGGAAGCCAATTATGCTTTGAAGCTTAGGAGAGGAGGAGGAGTCCCTTCCTCCTTCCCTCCCTCTCTCCCTGTCAAGCCCCAGCGGGCTCGACATGAACAGGCGGAGGAGGAGTTGAGGACAGGTGGGGTGGCAAAGGAGACCGGCAGCTGTCGCCAGACCTCCCGGCTGACAAGTGCAAGTTCGGGGGTCGCCAGCTGATGGGCACAGGAGTTGGGTGCTGTGGCGGCCTCCCCTTCGCTGACCTGCGTGCACGAGAAGTCAATCCGGTTACTGCACAATGAGTCTCTGGGGAGGGCGGAGCCTTGCTCTGCACCTGCGCTCTTCATGCGCCCCCTGCAGGGCACATTGAGTAGAGTTCGTGCAGACTGCCGCCAAGCAGCATATTTTCCACAAACAAGTGAGGTGGAGTGGAAGGGGGGAGGGAGGCACCGCCGTGGGGAGGGAGAAGGCGGTTGACAAGCCCTGCCTAAGACTATCAGAAATATGTGTTTTCCGATGGTCTTAGGTGACCCCTGTGAAAGGCTCGTGCGACCTCCAAAAGGGTCGCGACCCACAGGTTGAGAACTGCTGGTCTAACTTTTGATGAAGTCCTTTGCCTTCCAAGAGTGTAAGACCTCATTACTCATTACAACAAGCATGGGGTGTAGTTCTTTCAAGTGGAAAAATCTTTGTTTGGACCTTTTTGCCTTTATTAGATGACTGGTTTTAGAAAGGGAACAGTCTTAGTAAGGAACTGAAACTGTCAGCTGCAGCCTTTCTTCCTGAAATGACAGTATTCTAAATGTAGGTTCTTTTTTTAGAATGTACTAAGACAATAATATATCAAAAGATAGAAACAAAAACACGATGCATGAACAATAAAAAGGGAGGAACGGACAAACAGGAAAGGAATAAAAGGAGGAAAAACCGAAAATAATCCATAACACGAGGAAAGGACATACATATGGTTGAACCTTATCTCAATTAATCTATAAACATCAACTATCTCCCAATAAACCTGTCAACTTGATATCTAACAGAGCTAACTAGGGAAAAAGAAATAAATAGTTGATCATCCACTGTTTCCAAATCTAGGCTGCTCAAAACAGCATTTGGGTTTTATTGTATGGTAAACTTTTTATTGGCTTTAGGGTATTTATTATGTGGATTTGGGGAACCTAATCTTTTCTGGGAAATGAAGGGGAGGGTAGATTCAGATCTACTGAATCTGAAGCTGGCTGCAATCCACTGCTGGAAAGTTTTGGATTTCAGTTTAATTCCTTTCAGGCCAATGGTAATTGCTTGGGGCTCTTCTGGTTTATTCCAATCCTTTAGGAATTCCCTAGTCATTTTCAAGTTGTTGGACTTCTATTTTCATAATTTCTAACAGCATCTGGTGAACAACAATCTGGGAAAACCTATAACTCCAAATTTAGCTTTGGCACAACCAAAGTCAAAGATGAAAACATGTGAACTTCCATATGGTCCATAACGGGGCATATTAATTATTGCTAGCTAGCTTTACATTGCCTGTGATATTTTTTAGAGCTACACATTATGGCCTGTGCTTTCCTACAGATGTGAGTAATCTTTTTTCATCTGCAGGCTGCTCTAACACAGACATGTCAAACTCGTGACATCACATAATGTCACGCAACGTATTGGAACGGTTTTGCCATTGCCAGCAATAGGGTGGGCACGGCTTCTGGATGATGCATCCGGCCCGTGGGCCAGCAGTTTGACACCCCTGCTCTAACGTTCATGGCAGTGTTCTTCATCCTTGGCAATTTAAAGATATTGGACTTCAACTCCCAGAATTCCGCAGCCACTCTAATAAGTGGCTCAATTGTGGAAATTAGTTAGAGTCAAGATTTCCCTATTTCTCCCCCCTGAGTTTACAGAGAAAATTTTCTCTTTTTAAAAAGAGTTGTTACACTTCTTTGAGGGAGGGGTAACAGTTTTGTAGATTTTCCTGCCTCAAAATGGCACAACCAGTTTTTGACAACTGTGGTGCAAAGGGGCTCGATGGGTCACAAAAAAGAAGTTGGAAGCCTCAGGCTGCCTATCTTTTCTTTATTGCTTTTCTATAGGTTCAGTGCATTTTTTAAGCTGCAGTTATCTGAGAGCCAAATCCACTGAACTCAGTGGAATTAATATTTGAATTGCTATGCATTCTACTGCACTATTTCATATTTGGCTACATCAGACATACCATCTTTCAGCATAATCGCAAACAACGCTCAGCAATTACACTTCTAGGTGTCAAGAATAGAAACAGTGAAGATTAATTTTTGTTGAGAGGAAATACTCTCTCAGCACCAGAAACTACCCTTCAAACATGATTCGGTTTGAAAATTAAGTCAACTCTTAAAATAGCAGCACATTTTAAGAGTTAGTCTCTTTAGCAGATTATTTCAGAAGTGCAGAGCAGTTTTTCTGAATCCATTTTGAAGCAGGTACAGTCTTATTAAATGCCTTGTGTTTTATATCTGGGAACATACGTCATTTTCACACAACACATGTAATCCAGTCAAATCTGGTAGTATTGTATACTTCTATTATGGTGCCTCTCTTTATCCTGTCAAGCTTTTGCATACAATAAGTGCTGTGATTATCTGCTAGTATATTGGTTGCAATGTTTTTGTTGCTG